TTCTTACTCAAAGAATTCTGAATTGCTGTGAAACTTTCCATCATCATTCATTAGGCAAGATGCAGCGTGTTCTTGTAATATTGATCATTTCTATGATTCTTGTGGCTGGTGTTCTAGATGGAGCAGGTAAGATTTTGATCGTTCATAACATTTCTAATTATTGTTATTTAGTACAGTCATCAAATTCCCTGAGAATTTCCACTTTCTTGGACTTATAATGTAATCTTCAATTCACATACAAGTCTTCAGACAGGAGTTTCTTTGTATTCTTTTCCCAATAATTATGCTTTAATATTAAAAGTATCCTTGCAACAAAAATAACACCAAAAGGTTTCAACCAATGTTTTCATTAGGGACCACACCTCAAGGCCGAGACTTGAAACCATACGGCCAAGACCAAGGTATTAATGAACAAGCATGGGGATGATGGAACATACAAAGAAGGATTTTCACACACATATTCGTAATTCTTCAATCAGTTACGTCATACTTCTATTGGCTAGTTTGATATTTACCAATGATCCTTATTATACAGTCCTTCATATTCACCATACAATAAATCTGAAATCAGCAGCACCAATGTATATTAGTAAAGGCTCTCTGGACTCTCATACAAGAGGACCCTGGGTTTAATTCTTGCTCGGTTTCTTACATCCCAGGACAAGATGTTTGGCCCACATACAAATGGGTACATGGCTGCCAATGATGGGATAATAATAATAGGAAGGAGAAGCAGTATTAATAATTTGGCTACCCTGGGTAAATAAGTCCAGTTTGTATTGATTCTTCGTGATTTTTATAATTTCTTTACTTTTTTGGTGCTTCACTTTCTAGAAGGGGAAAAGCATATCACAATTCGTCGTCGTCGTATATCAGGAGGCCTTGTGAGAGAAATGAGAGACGTGGCTAGGGTAAGATCACATTTACTCATTTATCTCAATGACAGCTGTGTACAATATAGCTACAAGGGGGAACAAGGGGAAGGGGCACATCCCTCCCAATTGAGAAGTGAAAAATTAAAAAATAAAGATAAAACTGGAAGAAAAAAAGGGGGTCAAGGGAAAAGCAAAGGGTAAGAAATGAAGATACCTGCACACGACTCCCCCTAATCAGTAACGTCATAAATTTATATTTCAATTTCCATATGGAACGGCAATGCACTGCCCTTCCCCCAACCCACCCCCTCCATCGTTGCAGGGCCCCCTTAATGGTTGGACTCTTGCTGCGCCACTGTGCAATGTATTCATTTTATTAACACCATCTTTAATATTTAAAAAAAACTGAAAATTAGTGCACCCCCATTCCTATGTATATTTTACAAGGTGACCATTTACGAAAACTGAAAATTAATACAGCTTCGTTTCCTATATGCATGTTGTAGTTTACAATGTTAACAATTTACAACGAAAAAATGATAATTGAGGAAGCTGCATATCTTATAAGTGTATAGATTTCACAAGGTGCCGAATGTAAATAATAAAAAAAAATAATGCATACTATATTTCCCAGGTTAATCTAACTCTTTTGCTCATAAGTTTTGTATATTCCAATAGATCAATCAATTTTAGATTTCTATTTAAAAAAAACCCTGAAATATATGAGAGCAGAATTGATGTCATCTCTCTACAGCAATTCGTATTTCTTTAAATAATGTATTTTAAACTTGACGGCCCTCTGACGCCTTCAGTCGACTTACTTATTCAAAACTTGATTGACGATACCCTGTAGTGTTGAACTGAGGAATCTATTTCATATTGTCTTTGTGCTCGTTATAGGGTGCCTAAGCGAAATGTTATGGCATTAAAAGACGTGTTAGCACAAAAGGCGAAATAGTCGGTGATTTTTGTGAATTAAGAATTCATTTTTGACATACCTGAATGAAATATATATATTTACCAGCTCCATATCCTAAAGATGTGCTTCTACCTCTTTGTGATAAAATTCTGATTTTGAAAAATCCTGCATTTTGCGTTCTGGATGCTTGTTTATGTCCCACTACCCGTGACACCGAATTTAAAACCTATATTCTTTGATTTCTGTTAGGAAATGTCATCCCTGAAAGTGAAGAAGGAAGAGAACAACCAGCTCACGGAGGAGGCTTTGGGTGAAAAATAAAGGCCACGCCATCAGACGACCTGGGTGTAGCTTTCAAAATAGTAATAATAATATAATAATAATAACAATGACTTCTATATAGCGAAAGTATCAGCCTTCTATAGCATTCACTTGGCCAGCTCAAAGATGAATTCATAATCTGAAAAAATCTTTTGATGAACTGCTCGTGGTATATACAATTAAAACAATATGGATCTGCCCCAGAGTACAATATTAATTTGTTGATGCCTTATAATCCTCCCAGACGCTTAAGATCATCCGATTCTCAATTGCTTGTTGTTCCGAAAACTAAGAAATCATGGGGGGGGGGGATCGGTCATTTGCACACGCTGGACCTCACGTATGGAATCAATTGCCGCAACATATTTGTTATATTTCAATTGTAGATTGCTTTAAACATGCCCTCAAAACTCATTTATTCAAAGCGACTTTCCCAGAAGATTTAGATTTACTTTCACATTGTCGTTGTTCATTTTTGTGTGTATTTTTGTGTACTTATAGTTTTTCTTCTTCATGCGCCACATTAGTCATGTGGAATTGGCGCATTACAAATACTCTATATTTATATTTTATTTTATTTTATTTAATATTGAATAGTTCAAGAAGGAAGTTTGCAGTGTTCAGTTAACAAATTAACCATGTTAATCATGGATCACATTTACCGTGTTAAATCGCGTAACAATTTGTATCTCCTTATAATATGATGGTTTAGTATTTTAAAGTATTGGTTAATGCATTAAAAAAAAAATTGTATAATTCAGCTTAGGCCGTGAGACAGATTTTATCAACAATTACAATTATGATACCATTGAATACATATTCATTCATTTGATTTGCAAACATTGCAACAGCTTTAACTATTAAAAAATATTTAAAAAACTTTTTTGCCATCTCTCATGTAACTGGTCCTGAACCCAATCCTCTATCTCCGATACGCTGTAACGGTTCGGAATTTCAAAAGAATAATGAGGCTTTTTACGACTCACATTCGAAGAGGAAGACCACAGGAAATATTTTTTCTTTGACATGTTAAGGCTTAAATGAACAAGAAATTACGTATCTGAGGAAAAACAAAATCTACTTTAGATGTAACTTGATCAGATATGAGTTAATGCTTGTGAAGCAAACAAATTAAAAACATATAATTCAAAACTTGTCTTTAGACACATTAATTCAAAATTGCTTTTGTTGATTCACTTATTCTGTTAACATTGATGTACATGTCTATTTCATAATTATTTATTGTAATTTGTAGGTTTATTTGTAAGTTTTGTTTTGTTTAATGTGTAATTGTTTATCGTTGTAATTTGTTTGTTATAGCGCTTAGATAAATCGTTGGTAAGCGCTTTATAAGCACCATCGTTAATATTATTATTAAACTGAATTTATTCTGAAAATAAGAAATCAAAAATGATAAAAAAAAACTCACCTCATCTTTGTGTTTTAATATCTTGTCTATTTCCTTGCATCGAATGTACCATCGAGCTCCAAGTGTGCTGCTAGCATGTTTTGAAACTATGCGTTAAGAATGGATTAACAAGACTTGTTTGAGTACAGATGAATGAAGTCAGTTTGATCCTGTTAGACACAGGGTGACAGGGATTAGTAAAACATTGCATCTACTTGGCTCTATGTCATTCTATACTATGCATTAAGCATACGATCCAAACAGCTTTATTTATTTCATCTTTATTGCAGAAACCATGATGTTTAAAAAACATAGAGAGGGAGAGAGAGAGAGAGAGAGAGAGAGAGAGGGAGAGAAAGAGAGAGAGAGAGAGAGAGAGAGAGAGAGAAAAAAAGAGAGAGAGAGAGAAGAAGAGAGAGAGAGAGAGAGAGAGAGGGATGAGAAATTACAAAAATATTTATTATTATTTTTTATTTGGCATTTCAAACATACAATAGAATTAAGGTACAATAGAATGGCACATAGGATACAAAGTATGAAAGAATAAAACTGGCTTCCCCTGCATGCTGCACCTCTCGAAGTTGCCAGGAAGAAAAAAGGGAATGTGAAATTCCTATAACCCCTAAATCTTCTGTGTGCCCATGCCTTGAGCCATAATGCATGGCCGTACAGAGGATTTTTTTATGTTGGGGACCGGGATAAATGCAATGAATTATTGATAACTTATTGTATTTTGTTTATATCTTTTTTTATTTGTGGGAATTACTGCCCCCTACCCCTAGCCCCCACTGCGTACAGTCATGGTTCAGTGACAAAGCAATGGCCTCGTAACTATATTAGTGCTCTTTGTGGGGCATTAATCCTCATTACTGTCATTTATGACTTACGATTGGCGTAGGTCCCCTATAGTTGATAAGTAGCGCGCATACACATGCGTTAGCAGTCACGCAAAAGAAACACTGGCAAATTATTATTCAATAAAATCTGAGAATATATACTATTATCTACATCTATTAGGAATAAATCATTGTCAAAATAATTCCATAAATTGGGGTTAAAAAAAAAAATATTCCAACTTTATGAGCAACAGTATAATAGTTATTTATTCCATTATATGTCAAATTGTTTGGGTGCAATACATGATATACCCTCCATCAGCATAATTCATTTTTCATAGGGGTCTGGCACTGCCACTGACATTTTACACAAAAAAGAATATATATAGATCTAGGCCTATGTTTATAGGCAATAGTAAAAAAAAAAAAAAAAAAAAAAAAAAACACTAGATAATTGATACACGTCTGTAAAAAAAAAAAAAAAAAACACATCCTAAACATCCATAAAGGACCATAGCAATCGGGGCCCGTTCCTAGAAACCGTCATTAATTAGTCTAACTTCTTTACTATCCCATCGAAACATCTATAACACAGCCTAATTGTACAGAATAAACCGGGAACAAATCGGAGCGAGCTGATTTTTTGGCTTGTCATAATGCGCAACTTCCTAGGCTACGTGTATTTAAAGTAAAGCCTCAGAAATGAATACCACCACAAAATTGCTTCAAATTGACTAGCCGTGGTACGTAATTTTTAAATATTTATTTCAAAAATATATATATATTTATATACACACTGTAAACACAGTTTTTGAAAAATAATAATGTCTTGTTGTGCTTTTTAAAGTTATGATGAAAAGAGCAGCTGTTTAGATGTGTAGTCCCGTATGCTATCCTTTATGTAATGTTTCTACCGAAAAGACTGAACTGCTAGTCTATGGCTATGGCTGTTCTGGTTCTGGTTTTAGTCCGACAAAGCGGTATCCCGCATCGCTATGGGTTAAAAGACGTGAATTACCTATGGTGACGCCCAGTCAGTCTAAAGACGTGTAGACTAGAGGGTACATATGGAACTCTAAAGCACATAAAATCACTCCCCTCACTAGGGAGGCCAATGCCCGGGCGTAAGGCTTCTAGTACTACACCTACGATTTGTGCGCTCGTCGCCCACTTCAAAAAATTAGCAAAGGGAAAAAAATGATGTAAAAATAAAAATTGAAGAAAATATGAAAAGAAAATACAATTATACATTTCACAACATACCTATAATCACGGATCTGTAACAGTCTTTCACCATTTGTTGACAATCTTGCAGATTTTGACGTTTTTTAATCCAATAATTGTGGTTGCAGACGACCTTGACGCACTCGCACCACCGACTAAGAAAATCCTAGAGGGCGTAGAGGTTTGCTCACTAAAAACCTTCTCATTGGCAGAAGGTAGACCCTAAAAATATGGGATCCGTTTTGAGTAAAGAACTTTTGATAGAGATCAACATTTTAGATGTTCACAATTGCCACTTCTAACAACTAGAAAATATAAAGAAAAAAGATTATATCTTTTTAAATACAGATTTTTACAAACTGAACATTCGAAAGTAGATAGAGTACGATGTTTCTGTCAATCTTGCGTTGGTTTGAGCCCTATAGCTACATCCATCTCAAAATGAGAAGGAAAACAGTGAACAGTGACGTCATTGTTCGCGCCAAAAATAAAGGGTATTGCGACATAATCTGAGCTCCGGTCAGATCGTGCCCAAAGCCTAGTCTTATTTATAGACCCTAGTACCTTATTCTCACAGCACTAGATACGAGTGTCGTGCAGTAATGTATGAGAAGTGTTAAAAAAGATATTTCAGTAAAAAAAAAAGTCTACGTGAGCAGTCTATACTCCAATTGAGAATTGAAATGAAAGCCATGATTTGAAGGTGTGTATTGTATGATACATGGTTAGTGAGTGTGTATGTTACGTATAGCGAAAGGGAGAGAGAGAGAGAGTGAGAGAAATATTAGTACACGTACGTTGCATGCATGGATGTGCGCTATGATTGTGTTCGCTGCAAGATGGATTTTAATTGGACCTCGTAACTTCTCGACCGTTGATAATAAGGAATACTCATGAGGAAATCAAATTGTTGGAATACACATCTAAGGTAAATATCAATGAATTATATATATTTCTTTCCTTTTTTGAACCATCGTCTTCGGCTCGTAGTAGTAGAAGATGTAATCGTTCGCACATTGATGGCTGGACTTCAGCCTGCATCGGGGCTTGCCTGTGTCGGTGGAGGGATCAACTAAGAAGAAGAAGGTGTGTACGTGTGCGACCGATTCAAGGCTAGCCGCTGTTGAGTGATTGCACTTTCGCGCGAAGTTTTAAACTTCATCATGAACTTTGTCCCTCGGGCCTGTCTAATTATGAACGTAACTTTGCGACATGAAATATAATTGTTTCAAGGCTCTTACGTACGGAAAGGCGTAGAAGGAAATGGCTACAAACCAGCTGGATATCTCCTATTTGATGGAACCTATGGAGTCGGCAGATGGGTGGATTTTCTTAGTGAAAGTAAATGCTTTCTTTTAATCTTAGTTTTAGTATAAACAAATTAGTAATTAAAAAGTTAGATTTGGGCATTGGCCTCCCTACCCTCACACAGGGTCAAAATTTAGTTCAAACAATTGTCATGAGAGACACCACACCACAATATCCTTGTTTAGTTGCTGAAAAGGCTTTTGACGAGTACCAGCATAGACGTAGACGTGTCACTTGGGTTCAAACTGTAGTAAAAAATGTAGTAATGTAATCGTCTTCGTCTTCTTCTTGTTCTCCCTATGCTTTTGTCGGAGATCAGCAACAGGGTGTTGCAAGTATATCATTAATCATTGATTTAATGACATTAATGTAACCTGTTTTTTCTTGATTTTTTCTTTCCATTTTCAGAGTCCTGTCGAAGAGTACATAAACAGTAGACTATTGCATGACCAGACAAGAAGTGAAGATGAAAAGAGGGAAGGATAGAAGAGGGGATAATATGCAAGAGGTTGATAACAGACCAACCCATATGAAAGAGGATACAGACATTCCAACTGATCGAAAAGGACAGGATTCTGAACATGATAAGAACCATGCGGGGTGTAGTAACCTTGGACGGGATCGAAACAGTATCTTACTGCTTCTGCTGCTTTATGTCCTGCAAGGGATACCCCTTGGTCTTGCTGGGAGCATCCCGCTCCTCCTGCAGAGCCGCAACATCAGCTACAAGCAACAGGCCATCTTTAGCTTCGTTTACTGGCCGTTCAGCATCAAACTCCTTTGGGCGCCCATCGTCGATTCGGTGTTCGTGTCGCGGATCGGCAGGCGCAAGTCATGGCTGATTCCGTGTCAGTACCTGATTGGTCTCTTCATGATGATACTGTCGGGTCAGGTCACGAGTCTCCTGGGTGACGACGGGCAAGATCCGAACATCCTTTTGCTGACTAGCCTCTTCTTCATGCTCAACTTCCTGGCAGCGACGCAGGACATCGCTGTGGATGGCTGGGCCCTCACCATGTTATCTAAGAGTAATGTAGGATATGCATCAACATGCAATACCGTTGGTCAGACGGCAGGCTTCTTTATTGGAAATGTTATCTTCATTGCACTAGAGTCGGCTCATTTCTGTAATACTTATTTACGATGGGAGCCTCAAGAGCAGGGAATTGTAACGTTAAAAGGTTGGTTTCTTTCACCTCTTTATAAAATATGGTTTTATTTTCCTTATGCATGTCTAATATCCTCATTTTATACCCACCTTTAATATATGTCAGGATGGATAGCTTAGATTTTTACATTCAGTCATGATATCATATGAAAAACTTTGAAAAAGTCCATTCTCACGAAATGCGTATGTCACTAATCCAAAACACTGAATTAAGAAGCATCCAAATATTTGTTAGTGCATAGAGTTACAAATAGTAGGACAACAAAATTGAATTGGTAGACTATTTATCTGAAAATGATACTGGTTTAGTCATACAACTTCAAAGCATTTGATGCATTTGGATTTTTGACTTAATTTTGTGTAAAATACTTCCAAGATATTACTCAAATTATGTAATTACTATGATCTGAAGTATACCGGTATAGGATTCCTGTCAATTTTAACACACTTTGCATTCAAATGCATCTATTATGCACTTGAATTTTGTCTTAGGAATCCAAGACCATGCAAATGTCAGAGTTAATTTAGTAATTTGTCATTCAAGTTAGTCAATGGTCAATCAATTTCAACACTATTCCAATAATTTTTGCTGCCGAATAATCAAATTTGTCTGTGCGTAATAAATTTCAAGAGAGTTTCATGTAAATACATCGCAAAGACAAGACCTTTTAAAATGAACGAGTAACAACTATGAATGACACATGTAATTGTACATTGGCAGCCGAGAATGATTACCTTAATTTAACTTTGATGAAATTGAAAGCGAAATTATGAATTGATCGGACAAATATTGAAAATAAATGACCAAAGTAGAAATTGACTTTGGGATGTGCAAGATTGGGAAGTTTTGGGACAAAAAGAATGAACTAAATGAAACAGTGTTAAAATAGACAGGAATACCTATATAAGTCTCATTCCCAGGGTTAATTGGATATTTGGAGGATTATTTTCTAATTATTTTCAGATATATAATTCTCATTCATATTATACAATGTACTTATTTCATGATATTTTTTTTGTTTGTCTACGGATGTGTGATTTTGTAAGCACAATACTAGTAGTAATCTTTGTTTCTAGCATCCCTAAATATTCGATATTATCATTATTTATATTAATCATTCTTTTTCTTTCTTCTTTTTGTCTAGAATTTTTATTCTTTTGGGGTATCGTCTTTTTCATCACAACCACCATCATTGGCTTGTTGAAGCATGAGGAGGATAGCCATGGCGACCATGAGATGGGTGTGGTCTCAGCGTATAAACAATTCTCCCAAATCTTACGCCTTCCCATTATCAAGAAATTTCTTGTCATTGTCATCACTTCTAAGGTAAAGAATACATAACTTTTTTTTTCTCTTCTGAGCATCGTTACCATATGTATAAACTCCTCAAAAAAAGTTCTGCCAGTCCATATTGAACCTTGTTTTAAGTTGGTATCATTGGAAAGCCTGTTTATTTCCCTTTAAAACGAAGCTCAGTTTTTAATGATTATATAATCATGGAATGTGCGGTACATCTAAATATGGTCAAAAGTCAAAGATAAAATGTTGTGAAAAAGCATTGTTATTGGCAACAGTGAATTCTTCATTTGTTTTGAGGATGTTTGTGTTTTGAATGATGTTGAGATGGTCACTCAACTCTCTATTCGTCACGCTCTATTTCTTGTCTGTCTGTGTGTGTGTGTGTGTGTGTGTGTGTGTGTGTCTCTCTCTCTCTCTGTATCTCTCTCTTCTATCTATCTCTTCTCTCTCCCCTCCCTCTCTTCTCTCTCTCATCTCTCTTCTCTTCTCTCTCTCTCTCTCTCTCTCTCCCCCTCCCTCTCTCTCTCTCTCTCTCCCTCTCTCTCTATATATCTCTCTCTCTCTCTCTCTCTCTCTCCCTCTCCCCCTCTCTCTCTCTCCCTCTCTCTCTCTCAATCTGCCCTAATTTTGTTCTCCTCACTCAGATGGGTTATGCAGCAGCTGATGCCATCACAGGTCTGAAGCTGATTGAGGCCGGGGTACCGCGGGAGGACATGGCCCTCCTTGCTGTCCCCCTAGTACCCCTCCAGATCATCCTTCCTTGGGTCATCAGCAAGTATACAGCCGGGTCAAGACCACTCAATATCTACCTCCAAGCTATGCCATGGAGGTGAGTTTCCACAGTGTTTTCACTATATTCAATGCATTCCAGAAAAAACAAAACCAAGAATTATTGATGTTTTATCATAACTTAATCACAATTATAATTAATAAATGACACATATTTGTAAAGCTTAGATCCTCCTCTTCATTTGATGCAACTCATATGATGCATATGTCGGGCAAATGGTGTCATTTATTGATTATAATTGTGATTATGTTATGATAAAATGTCGATAATTTCTTCTTTTTTTCTTTCTGGGACACACTGTAATATTCATATATATTGTGGCATATCCAGGGGTCTGTCAAATGAGGGGGTGGCATTATTCCTGGCATTTGCTGAAAAGCAAAGGATAAAAGATGAAAGAAATGTCATCGGGTTTTTCCGCTTCTTTTTTTCTCGTAAATAAGCCACTTCAGAGATGGTACATGCACAAATGACCCCAACATTTTAGAATGATAGCTGCCAAAGTGATGGAGGCACTGCATGAATACCTTTTGTTTGCTCTCTTGGAAAGAATACTTCCACCTGTTTATTGTCTGTGCATAATTGAATAATGATGAATTAATTTTCACGAACACATTTCCAGCATTCGTGTTGATATGCGCAGATAGTGTCCCAGAAGTGGCTTATTCTTTTACAAGCAAGAAACTCAAGTGTTGAAGAGAAGGTTGAGTTCTGGAAAGAGGTGAAAAATAATCTATGAGCATTATCATTGTATTATGCAAGTGTGGAAGAACATCAGATGAAACATGTTCCCTGAAAAGCATGGCTCTTCAAATGCCTTAATATTTTAAAAATGGCATGTGTTACATCATACAAGTCGGGACAGACTTTTATGCAACACGTTCGTGTAGTCCCATATACATCTTTCTGTATACAGTGCTTGTTACTTTACCAAGGCTGGGCCAAATTTCTTATCATTTTGATGACTCCAGAACCTTTAACAGTCCACATCAATACTTGTATGCTACATGATCAACATTTACTGATTGATTCCACACCGTTTCTTTCACAATGCAAGTTATCTTTAAAGGGGAGGGGCACTGGTTGTAATTAACATTATTTTTTTTCTGTTTCACTCTTTGCAGGTTGATTATGGGCATTGAATTTGCAGTGGTAGTTTGGATAACACCATCTTTCAGACTTGCGGATGGATCTTTCCCGACCTCTTATCTTGCTTTGCTTTTATTCAGTTATGCTGTACATCAGGTGTGTATTCACTTATTGGGCTTAGGTAGATATATATGAAGGAGACTGTTGTCAAATCTCAATCACAAGGCTTACCTGTTCAAAGCCATTTTGCTGTTATCCATGGGCCTGTTTCTCAAAACCGTCATAAGTCCAACTGCTTGGACATCCTTTTGAAACGTGCGTTATAGAATTAACAAGTACATCACGGATAGTGCCATGGACGGTCGGATACCGGACGGTTAAACGTTTGACCACAGCACTAGAATTAACGCACATTTCTATGGAATGTCCACGAAATTAGACTTATGGCGATTTCGAGAAACTGGCCCCTGACTACTATCTCCTTGACTACTGCTAATACTGCCAATTCTAATTGTATAAATTATACCCAGTTTTTCTCCCCCAAAATGCTGATTTGACTATGGATTACTAGTCCATGTGTCATGGACGATAGACGAAATGGGCTTGGCGAAATGATATTAAAGTGGTTTGGCAGTGTAAAAGCTGAATTAAGTTATGAAATGCACTATGTGCTGATAACAGCTGGTTGAGCTAAAGCTAGGGTCATCATTTCCATAGCTCAGTGGAAGGACATAGGAACGTTATATATCAAAATGTGTCATGCACTATCCAAGAACCGATTATTATCATTATGTGTTCAGATCCAGAAAGTGTTAAAGCCCATCTGTTCAAGTTTGGCCAGGAGGGATAAGACCTCTCTGGTTATCTCATCAAATCAGCTCTAAATTAAAATAAGAAAAAGAGGATCATAGAGGATCATAGGGGACCAACAGGTACCAATGAGGCATTGTTTGCTATATAGAGGACTCAAGTAGCTACAAGTAGTGCAGTGGGCTTTAACTTTACCATGCTCTCTCACAGGTTGCCCTCTACAGCATGTTTGTGTCCACGATGGCCTTCAACGCCCGCGTCTCGGACCCTCTCATGGGGGGTACCTACATGACCCTGCTCAACACCGTCTCCAATCTCGGGGGCAACTGGCCCGCCACGGTAGCGCTCTGGCTAGTTGACAGCCTCAGCTGGAAGTCGTGCCACGGGGGCACGGAGGAAGGGTTGGATTGTGACACGAAAGCAGAAGCAGAGGTAATCATTGATTTTTAATGATCCATTTGTAGATTGGTGCTTGTTTTTCTTCTTTACTATTAGGCCATGGAGTGTGTATTTTTATGGTGTTGTTTGTCTTTTGATATCAATAATGATTAAGATACATATATTTGCACTTTATTGATTTTTATCAAATAGTGTTTTAATTTGATCTTTTATCATTATTCATTCATTTCATTTCATTTATTTTATTATGAAATCAGCATTTAATTCAAGTGCCACCATGCTTCATGGACTTAATAAACTGTACCAATAAATAAAATTTTAGATCAACATAAGTGATCTTATTGAGCATAAGTGACTAGTTCAGAATTTCAGATTAGATTTGGCAATTCAAGAAGTTACCCTTTCACATGGTGAAAACAAAATTGTTATTTAATAGTTGGTTCATATATTACAAATGCCATGCCTTCTCACTTTTATTCTATGTCGATTTTAGTCTTGTTTTGTTCTATCTTCTCATTTTCCATGTTCAATTATTGTTCGCATGATGCCGTCTTTTAATGTTTTGTCATGTACTCCTAACTCTTACCTTATTGAATTGACTCCTCTCCTTTTTCCTGTCTTTTTCTTCTTCATCTCTTCATATTAATATTTTTTTTTTTTATCCTCTTTGTAACTTCTTCTTCTTCCTTTGCCACTCTCATTTAAAATCTCCAGGTCTGCACGAAAGCAGATGGGAAGTGCGTTACAGATGTCGACGGATACTACATTGAATCCGTCATCTGCGTTATAATTGGATTTGTGTGGTTAGGAATCTGCGCTCGTAAGATACGTAGGCTTCAAGAGCTCCCTCTAGACTCCTGGAGATTACCATCTTCGGGGTCGTCAAGAGACTGACTAGCACGGGCTCATCAGGTATGAGCCACCGTGGATCACATGGTTCGCGGTTCGAGTCCCACCGGGGCGTCAACGTCTTTTGGCAAGACATTAATCCACACTTGCCACTCTCCACCCAGGTGAGGTAAATGCCTGATTGGGTACTCGGTAGGAAGAAATTCCTGGAATGTTCGAGTGCTTTTTCATGGTAGCTCGGCTAAAGCCGGGGTAATAATATGATTGCAGGGCCCTCAGAGAGAACAGTATTAATACAGAAGAGGCTACCCAGGGTAAACAACACATATTATCATTATTATTAATTTGAGGAACTAATGATCGAGGTGTTATGAGATCTTAAAGGGAAAATCCACCTCAATAATTGTTGGTTTATTTATAGCGGAAAGAAAGTGAAACTGATCAGTGAAAGTCTGAAAAAATTCAAAAAGAATATGAAAAATGAATTATAAAGTTATGAATTATTTGAGTGGTAATCAATCAACCACAAGTTGTAAATTTTGTGAAACACCCTACCTCTGGAGGATCTCTCTCATTTTCCCTGGAAAAAAATGAATTACCGTTATGTCTGAACATATTATATCTACACAAACACTATAAATATGGTTACTATACATATGTTTTTTTACATATGTGCATAAGATAAAAATAGATCTAATACTTTATCAATAACCAAGTAACTGGAAATTGAAAGGTATTTGTAGTTTCCAATTTGCATTTGATTTATTTACTTTTATCAAGTCTTCCTCAAACATTCACTGATCTGTTTTTCTCATGTTTCCCCTATGATTTAATCCAACAAAATATAAAAGTGGACTTCCCCTTTAAGGCTCACTCACACGTGTTGTAGTAAACCACCTGAAAAAGATTGCCATGGCAAGTAGCAAAGCTAGTAAAAAAACAATAATGTACCAGTAAATTAAAATGCAAGTAGGGGGTCAGCAAATATTAGTTAGTTGTTTGTAGGAAAGGTCTCCAAGTGTATTCATTTAGATGCAGAAAATGTGAAGCACATTGAGTTTCATGTCAATTTAAGTTGCTGCAGCAGTGATTTTGGGGTGGTTCACTAAGCCACATTTGAATAAGGCCTTAAAGCTTATCTGTACTAGTTTATAGGAGAGATTAGACCATTCTGCAAGGTCACTGGACAGGTTGTTATCTCATCAACTCAGCTCTCAGTTAACATAAGAAAGAGGATCATGGGGGACCAATGGTCACCGATTAGGAATTGTTTTTTATATAGAGGGAGCAAGTAGCTACAAGTAGTACAGTGTGGCTTTAAAGTTACTGTTATATTTTTTTTACAGGTGATGACAAAATCTTCATCCAAACTGTTGGTGACATTAAAATTACTCATTAAAATATGTCAAATTAAATATTTTTCTAAAACAAAATAAATTTTGGTGGCAATTTTATTTTCTTCTCATTTAATTGTGTAAATAGAATTTACTTGGAAAATAAAGAGATGTAAAAGAGGCAGCATTCCACATTTTGTGGTTTGGCTGAAATTATACCAGATGCACGAGTAGAAAGGACAAGGATTTCAGCACACACTGCATCCATTTGTTGCATGATCATATGGCATTAGATGCCAGGAATTTGAAAAAGCAAAATTAAGCGTTAAAATCCTTAAGTTGGCAACACATTGAGAGGTTCAAAGTCATTGGTTTTCGATAAAGATTGGCCACTTTTCACAAAGTTTTTACCTATTGTATGTGTTTTGCAGAGATATCAGATTTTATTAGAATAGTGTAGCAATTAACAAAAGAAAAAAAATGATTGTTGCTAAATTGAAGAGTAACCTATGATAAATTTTGCCCTAAATAACAACTCCTGTCCTGAAAGGGTTTAGCATTTAATTAAATGCTTTAGCTGGAACATTGTAATAAACCTTTTCAAATATTTCAAGATGAATTTACGCACAACTTGTCACCTTTCTCTTTTGCTGAGAGTATTAAAATGGTACCTTTAAAGTTGCTCACGCGTGGGTATATAGAGGGCAGCACATTGAGCCAACAGGGATTACGCTCCTGTGGGTACTAGTGTCCCTTTATGTGTACGTCCATACGGGAGCGTAATACCTGTTGGCTCAGTGTTCGCCAAGTTGCCTATTTCACGAACGACTATATACCAAGGCATGAACATCTTTAATGTTTGGTTGAATTCATTTTCAACATCATCAGTGATGTGAATATAGACCTTTATGAAATAATAGTATTCTTTTTTTATAAATGTATTATATTTTATACAGAACAGTATGTTTACTTTAGAGGAATATTTCTGAGAATTTAAGTTACTGCAAGGCTTATCTTCAATGTGAGAATCTGTGTATATCTTGCTGTATCGCTATTTTCTTTAATTTGCGTTTATTTATAACTCTTTTGCAATTGTGGAGGGAAAGATAAGGCACTGCACAGGTCACAAAAACTTGATAACTTAAAAGTAAAAATGGTACATATATGATAATTTGCAAATTATACATATTTAGGGCTTTTTTTTTTCTTTTCATATGGGAAAAGATTTACTAATTTGATCATAGATCATATACAAAAAATGTAAAAAGTCTATGGATAATTGGGGTGATTTGTACCATGCGCTAACCACAAACTTAAATTTTATACCAAAGGAAAGATCTCTAAAAACTCAAAACTTAAAGCTTTGAAAACCGGAAGATGTCGACCTGAAAACTAGCTATCGATATCAACTTATGTGGAGTATGCATATTCACAATGACATTGTATTAATTAAGCACAGCTCATCTCCTCAGCAATATAGGTGAGCAGGGGGTGTTTCACAAAGATCTTAAGTTGAACTTATCTCTAAGTTGGACTTAGCAGTTATGGAAAGCCGTTAGCATCTTTGAAAATATATTTTTAAAGTTATTTTAAAAGGCATAAAATGTTGATTCAAATCATTCATACTTTCTATTATCAAGGAGATTTCATGTTCTTGATGTGGAATTTATTAAAAGTCTAAAATACTTCAATTTTGGCTTTTGAATATATTTTATTTTAAGGCTACAAATGGCTCTCCATAATTTTTAAGTCCAACTGAGAGTTAAGTTCGACTTAGGATCTTTGTGAAACACCCTCCCGATCAGCTCCAGATGTTATTTCTTCAGCATATTTGACCCCTGTTTGAGGAGTGCGAAAAATTAGGTTTTAATCTGCTTTTTGTGCAATACTGAGAGGGAAAATATCTATGACCTGTATTCCTTTATACATGTATTTGTATTCTACGTTCATTCTGCTGCCGTTGGTATTAAGTTGTATTTTCATCAGATGGGATATTTAAGAATTGTTTTCAGATTGTTTCATGTGGAATGTAATTTACTTCCCAGGCCCCTTTGGATATTAAACGTATTTAAAGATGAAGTTGAGTTCTGGTCATGCGATGGCATTGTGAAAGAAACGGTGTGGAATCGATCAGAAAAGGTTGATCATCTAGCATATAAGAATTTGTGTGTATTGCAAGGTTCTGGAATATGGCCAAGTCTTGGTAAAGTTACAAACACTGTACACAGTTAGATGTATATGGGACTACACAAACACGTGGCGTAAAAATCCTACCCCCGAGTTTTACGATGTTACATGATATATTTAGAATATGAACGCATTCGAAGAGCCATGCTTTTCAGGGAACATGTCTTATCTAATGTTCTTCCTCACTTGCATAATAAGAATGATAACGCTCACAAGTTATTTTTCACCTCTTCCCAGAACTCAACCTTCTCTTTAATAATTTGATTTGCATTAAAGTTGAGTTCTGGTCATGCGATTGCATTGTGAAAGAAACGTTGTGGATTCGATCAGAAAAGATATATCATCTAGCATATAACTTTGGTGTGTACTGCAAGGTCCTGGAATCATCAAAATATTTATTTTTTACTCAGTCTTGGTAAAGTTACAAGCACTGTACACAGAAAGATGTATATGGGACTACACAAACACGTGGTGTAAAAATCTGTCCCGATTTTTATGATGTTACATGCCATATTTAGAATATTAAGGCATTTGAAGAGCCATGCTTTTCAGGGAACATTTGTTATCTGATGTTCTTCCACACTTTGCATAATACCATGATAATGCTCACAAATTATTTTTCACCTCTTCCTATGCAGAACTCAACCTTCTCTTTAAATGCAAGTTTTAAATTAAATGCAAGCCCAGAAGTCATAGTGAGATTGCCTGACATAGCAAAAGTTTGTAGCTTCATTTCTGGCTTAGCAGTTAGAACTAGTCCATTTGATGAGATAATCAGTGAGCATTCACTTCCATGTAAACAAACAAAAAATTAAGAAAGAAAATAAAACCTATGCTTTTGATTGGAAATTTCAAGTGATCGATTGCAGTAGTTGAATGGTCTTGATTATCTTCCATATGTACATGTACATCATCAGATTTCTAAAGATTATTGACAGAAATTTAAAATCTTTTAAACTTGGATCAAGGAATCAAGGTTGATAACACTCAAATGTGTGTGCTTACACACAGTATATTCTTTTAAATATATTTTTAATTACATACACTGTATTATTATTTATTTGTGTTTCAATATATTTCTTTAGTTACAATTTGTTAATATATGTGGGATATAGTATTTTGTTTTGGGGCACTTAAATCATTTGTAGACTCTAAAAGTAATTTAAGTGCCCAAAAAGGAAAATGGCATTGATTTTTTTAAGGAATAGAGGCTAATAAATTCTTTGAACCTCGATTGATTTTCTCTATTGATAATTCTTTTTAGGGTATGATAATTTAGTTGCTGCAGATTCAATGCAATTCAGGTTTTTGTTAGGATGTACAATGTCTTTTATTTGTTGTGCCTAAATTATTCTTTGTTTTTATTACTGAAATTGCCTTTATCATTTATAATTTGACTCAAAATCTCAAATGATGCAATATCCATTGGCATTATAGTGTCTATTAAATTCCTTTGTTAATTTCCGAATGTCTGTGGGTCATTTTAAGTTCATACTTCATTTGTGTTCATATGTTTATTTTTTACTGCAATTTATGATTTCTAAGTTATCTACCTAAGAAAGAGAATGTGAACATAGTCATTATTCATTATAAACTTAAAGGTAATACAAAGTTTTGGTATGGGTTTATGAATTTGGTTCAAATGAACATATTGGAAGCATATGCAATCCTACAATATTCAGTGATCGTTGTCGCGGTTGAAATAGAGTCTAAAGAGATGAAATTGTAAATAATAAACTCTTTATGTTGTATAGCTCCCTGTCAAGATATTAATTTAGCTTTAAAACAATGTTTCTAAACTAAAATCGACCGATTGGCTATTCCCATTTGGAAATTAAATATCAAAACTGCATATTCTGACATTTTCATGTTTGCAGCCTATAGCCTACCATTGGATGGCTGCCTATAGGTGCTATCAAAATGTTAAAGTATCGCTATGCGGCCATTTTCAAAATTTCCCAAAACTTTGTTTTACCTTTAAGGTCACAACCTCGGGCAGAATGTTGATAACAAATGCAAAATATAACAAGTGAAAATTAAAAAGGAAAAATTAGAAATAAAAATAAGGAGATATAAATATCCTTTTGAGCAATTTTGTCTGCCATTAACACAGTGGATTGCAAAGGATACTAGACAAAGGACAATGTAAAAAGATAGAAGCATGCAGAACCATTTCAAATAAATATCTGTTTATTTTCAAGTGGTAAATGTATTCTTTATACAATTGATAAAAGTTTCTATTGAATTAGAATGAATTGTTACAAATGGAATAGACTAGAATGGACCAACATATTATTATACATAGATATTTACATTTTAGCGAATACTTTGGGTGTGTTACAATTGCTGCTCATTGCTTAGTTCCTACATAACATCTACTATAACTTTAAATTTGCTCACGTTTCTCCTTATCAAAATTCTCTCTTTCTTTTTCATTATTTATTATGTGCTTAGTTTTCCTTAACAATTAATAAAAGTCAATATATGGCTACTTTATAGACAAAGAGAAGAAAACGGATTAAACGGTAATGAAACGTGCATGCACACTATCTACATGCCAAAAGAGTGGGAACTAAATGTAATTAAAATTGAATCTGTAGTGGTTCCAAAGCAAGTATTGGTTGGAATTTAATCCCTCCCCCCCCCCCCCTACAAAAAAAAGGAGGGAGATATTTTGTAAATTCTAAGGTATTATCAAAACTTTTCGGACTTAGTCAAGAAAGTAGTTGAATTAACAATTGTTCAATAATGTTCAGTCACAATAATAAGAATGGTAATTCTGCTGCAGTACTAAATTAGTCCTATAGATTTAGATAACAGCATCAGAGTTGGTATCGCAACTGATTACAATATTACCCAGTCATTAATTGAGGCAGGATATTTCACGCTGAAATTTGTTTTTTCAACCATTCCTTGAAAAACAAGTTGCATAGAAAAATAACTTTTAACACAAGGATAGTCAATTGCATAGCAGACATTCGCAAATCATATTTGCAAGCCAACATTTATGTTAACATTTAAATACAGAACAAAGCCAAGGGCTTTTACGTCAATAGCGGCTTTCTGTCTCAAAACCTAGGGTCTCATGAGTCTCATTTCTTTCTTCATGTTCGTTCCATTACATCATGTCAAATTTGGCCATCATTTATAAAACATACTTTTTACCAAGTTTAACAATTGTGATAAATAGCCATGAAAATGTTGATTTCAACTGTTTAAGTTCGGAAGAAAATTTCCAGAGACTGCTTTGCTATTTTGAAATGGACGGCAGCATGTTTCTTGCAAGGTGTACATAAAATTCATAAGGGTGAGCTTTGTAAAGATAATGTTTATAGAAGTTTCACCCAAATCCTGTGCACACTAGCTACATGTAGTTTCCCAAGAATATAGGCTAGTAAACGTCCATGAAAGAGGACATGTTTATTTTCCATTTCACCTTCCCCATGCAGAGGTATTCCAGAGACCACTCGGTGGATTTTAACATGGATGGCCATACTTGGTATCATTGGTGCATGATGGGTGTGATAAAACCTTGTAACTGAAAAAAGTAAAAGTTTCACTAAAGTGACAGAATGTTCATTTTCAAACATTGTATGAGCATTGTCCACCTTCTCTATACAGGTTGCTTAAGGCAGTATTTTTGTAGATATCGAGGGGTCAGTGACACAAAGACGTAACTCCATTTTGGACATTTTGAGAAAAAGTGGTTTAAAGATGGAGGTCCACTTGGGCCTTAAGGAGTTAAGTCTATGTTTCGCTAGCCATTGACTTTAATGGGGTGTTGGGTGGAGTTACCGGTAAGTCTTTTTTTTTCTGGAAAGCCCACATTTTTCTGAACATTTTGATATCAAATATTCATTCCGTCAAAATATGGAGTTGTGTCTTTGTGTCACTGAACCCTCGGTTTGCACTACATGGTTTTATCAGAACATCAAGTGGTCCTAAGCTAGAAGATGATTGGTCACAAAAATGTCAGAAACAGAGTAAGTCCTTAGCTTGAAGTTGATTGGTCACACAAAAATGCCAGAAACGGACGGAGTTACAAGAATTTATCACCCCCACCAACATCATTTCAAGGTCGGAATAGAATAGGTCAAGGTGTTTTAGTAGCCACCAGCAAGGAAGCCTTGCTCCTTCTGGTTAGGTAATTCATGCAAGGCCTGACTGAAGTTTGCCACGTGACCCATCAGCTCTGAATCCTCTTCGCCGGACGACTCCATCAGCGCTTGACATTTTTCCGTGAGGTCTCTTGCCTGTGAAGGATAGCAAAATAGAAAGAAATGAGAATTGTTTGAAAGTCCTTCGGTTTGTAGAAGCATGAAGAACTGTCCCGTCAGTCAAAGAGTAAAACATTACTTTACTTATAGTCTCGTAGTCTCTTAGACTACTTAGACTCAATAACATTATTGATGCAGGGCCCACTCTTTTTATTTTGATAATCATAATAATTATAATTAGATCAGTTTATATAGCGCAGCTACTATATGAATATACTCTACTGCAGTGTCTCTTGATATAGCATTTCGACTTTAATAATAATAATCATTTTATATACCATATAAAGATTCTAAGATTAGTCTTAGTCATTTTCTGCTTTCGCGTACAATGCAAGGACGTAGTGGTTGCGCTTGAAGTTAACAACGGATAGGCATAGAGTGAAGTGTGTAATGCTCTTAGATGAGTAAATTTTCCTAGAGTCTACAAATAAATATATTTTTAAAGCATATTTTGTTAAAATGTCTCTTTTTGAGAATTGACATGGGGATGCATTCATAAAAGAAATAGTGACTGTTTATTTTCTGGGTCACGGGGAAAAATTATAGCTCCTCAGTGATCTCAAGACTGCACTATTTCCCCTTGACCTGGTTTAAGATTACATAGGGCAATAATTTTATCAAACTGTGCCCCATCAGAGCAGTCAACGTTTGTATATCATTATTACTACTATTAATAAGGGGATTTCCCCATACTCACCCTGGAGTATTCTTCCAGTAAGAAGTACAACATCCCAAGGGCGTGGCAAACCATTAAAAAGATAGTGACTGTTTATTTTCTGGATCACAGAGAAAAATTATAGCTCCTCAGTGATCTCAAGACTGCACTATTTCCCCTTGACCTGGTTCAAGATTACGTTGGGCAATAGTTATTAAACTGCCCCATCAGAACCCTTGACATTAGTATATCATTATTACTACTATTATAAGGGGATTTCCCAATACTCACCCTTGAGTATTCTTCCAGTAAGAAGTACAGCATCCCAAGGGCGTGGCAGACCAGCGCCATGGTAACCGGATCTTGAGGATTGCTTTGCTCTCGGATGTCATGGATGGAATGTAAGACTTGATTGGCTTCCGCTTCTTGCGCTTCATCTATAGATATAGACAAGATCCAAACAGAGAGTAATCAAAACGTTAAAAGAGAATTAAAAAAAAACGTTAAAAGAGAATAACAAATATGTTAAAAGAGAATTTTAAAAACGCTCAAAGAGAATTATGAAAACATTCAAAGAAAATAATATAAACATTCAAGAAAATAATGAAAACATTAAGGTGAGTACATACTATACATTTACATATATGGTTGGTTTTCTGGAAATCGTTTCATGACTATCTGTAGTGACAGATAAATTCACTGGTATAAAAAAATAATGTAAAAATTTACATCCCATCTGTAAATAACCATGCACAGGTGACTGATAATGCAGATATCCGCACCAAAGTGGCAATGAAAGGTTACAATCTACTTTTGACCGATATTCAAAATTCCTTCAATTAATATAATGTACATTGAATATAAATGATTAAACAGTTTCGGAATATTACTAATGGAAAGATTGCATAATGATGTCATACAATTTCATGAATTCTAATCAATTTAATCACAACTGGGATTTTTATGTACAACAACTTGATGACAAACCTTTGCAATTTCATAATATATGCCCCAAAGATTCATGACAAATAACCGATCAATAAAGGCTAGAAATGTGGGATGGGTGGAAAACGAATTAGATTTTGCAGACACTCATTTTTTCATCCCTACACTTTATAATTTTATCAAGTCACCCATGGCTGCCGAGATGGTTGCTACAGCAATCACCGAGTTGAAGGACCGCAATGGCTCCTCGCTGCAAGCAATACAGAAGTATATCGCTACCATTTTTTTTTATCATTATTTAATTTATTTTACCCCCCCCCCCCCCCCCCCCCACCCCCAAAGTCCAAAATGCCATTTTTACCAACCTGATCCCAATCCTACCAATTACCAAAGAGGGTCTTACCTAGTGACTCTGGTTTAGCTTTCTTCAGTTCCACCGCCACGGCTCCTACCCCTGCTGGCGTTTCCGCCCGATGGGTGCGCGCCCTCACCAGTCTCAACAGATGGGTGTGCCAGATGTCCGTTACCCGCCCATAGAGGGAGTCTGCAACGTCCATGTGATTCTGACGGAAGAAGACGTTGGCCATGTGAAAGTAGCCGCCCGAGGTTCCGATGTTGTCCGTGCCGTACTGCTCTGAAGCATTGAAGATCTGTGATGAAAGAAGTTATGAATTGATTGTATTATCATTGGTATTTCATAAACTTTTATTTTCTTTGTTATTAATGACGGAATAGATTTTTTAATACAGGGGTTGAACAGAAATAGTATTTGCAATAATATATATTCAGGGTGGATGTTTGAATGAAAATTTTCTTGAGGGAAAATAAAAATTTCTCTTTTTTATTTTTAGTTCAGAGCAAATGGAAGGGGACCTTGGCAAGACCATGTCACAGAGTTACCAATTTGTGTTTGGTTGAATCAGGGGCGTACGCAAGATTTTTTCGAGGGGGGGGGGTTAAAATTTGAAAGTTTGACCCCTGAACCCCCCCCCCCCCCCCCCCCCCCCCCCCCTGTGTATGGTCTGGGTTGAATCATCATTTGTACCTCTTTGTGTATTTTTTGTTATTAAACATTTGCTCTAGCAACTTGTAATTGCGTCATTTTGTCAATGATACAGGGTGAATGCATGGGATGTCATTGGGTTTTAGGAAAGGACTATATGGTTAAAGGTTAAAGTCAGTGTTAGGGTATATAGTGTTTGGTTCAGGGTTTAAGTTAGGAACTGGTTTGGTGGAGGATTTTGATGACAAAGCAATTTTGTCACCAGAAAATCATAGACCCCTTTTTCATCTCTGCTAACCCTTTAAAAAAAATTATGAAAGGAATAAAAACATGGGAATCTTTGGTAGTTTGGAGTTGAATTAAGCATGGTGATCCAGGAATATACATGTATGTTTTAAGGAACTTGATGGGCTATTTTAGCAGACACTTAAACTAAGTTGAAACCTATACTGTCATGAACATGCTATATGTGTCTGTAATTAACCATTGTTAATCGCAATCACCATCATTACTGTTTCGTCCCATGTAGCTTCTATAGCTAATGAGTCTTAATCCCTTATTAAGTGCATGCACTACTAAATGGGTACTAATGAAAGAGAACTTTCTTTGTTCTATTCAAATGCGAGAGCATCCCCATGCTAATCTGTCCCTTTGAACATGGTTTCCACACAAAGGCCTTTGTGCTGAACATCTACACACACTCCTCTTAATCATACTTGAGTGGATAACCTACATTTTGCCATATAAAAGGCTCTTGTAATGAGTCTCTATATTTATGCAGTTTTTCTTCTGTCAGACGAAGTCAAAGACAGAATGTGTAGTGGTTGGTCTACAGGCCGACACGTTTCTCAGCATACTAGAATTAAGATTGCTCTAAGAAATAAAGAAAACTAGTAAGAATTCATCAATTTTCTTGTAGATACTGTCTAATGTTAAGACCTGCACATATGGAAGCTTCCTGTTTGGTCATACCTGCCAACCTGAGACAAGAGAAATTAGGAGTAAATTTTTCTGGATGGACTACGAGGTCGCGAACCACCGAAGGATTGGGGTAGTAGCCCGTAGATTGGGGGGGGGGGGGAACTAACGATCACGTTCGGGCTGCGCTGTGTATATCTTCTATGAGCGCGAGCGCGGATGTTGGCGTGATCTGGTTATCAGTGCTGTGTTATGCTTTAGTCTTATACATACATACATACATATTGGTATTTATTGAGCGCCTTTACATGAACATGCTCAAGGCGCTTTACATTTCGAAATACAAACATAATAGTTATATACTCTCCAAGTGCATTACACTCTAAAAAAAAAAAAAAAATTAAAAAAAAAAAAATTTAAAATTTAAAAAAAATCGGAGTTTTGAGGCATGCATTCGGAATTCGGAGTTGGTATGAAAAATGCGGAGGAACTCCGCCTAAATCGGGGTGGTTGGCAGGTATGTGTTTGGTTAATAATAATAATAATAATGTAACTTATACCGCGCCAAATCCACTCTGTGGAGTGCTCAAGGCGTGGGGTTGGTTTCACTGAGCCAATAAATATCCTGTATATTTCTCATATTTTTCCCACATTCATAAACTCAGGGGCCCGTATTCTGAAGTCAGGTTTAACTTTAAACCTAGGTTTAAGTCTAGTCTAAGCCTCGCCTAACTCTCAGATTTAAACCTAGGTTTAATTTTGCGTTTCTGAAGTCAGGTTTAACTTAAACCTAGGTTTAAGCCTGGTCTAACTCTGTGGAAATTGTACACATATTTAAACCTGGGGTACACCTAGTTTAAGTCTGGCTTAAGTCAGGTCTAACTATTTGTTGGAAATTCAGAGGAGAAGAAGACACCATTAAAAGGCATTACGACGAATTATTGCAAATAATGAGACCGGAGAGACCTCTTGTGAAAAGAAAAGAACCTTTCATAATCATTGCGACGATGATTTTTTTGCATCGCTGTTGTTTTTTAAATACCAAACAAACAGCGATTTGCACCGACTCCAACAGTACAAGGTGACACACACATCGCTTGCGGATGAAAGTGGGCCTTGCGATTTTATGCCTTCGGCAAGTTTGAACATTAATTTGGATACTTCATTTGCTTATTGAATCTTTATGCCTAATATTTTCTAAGTCTTAAGATTTTATATTTTATATAAGATTGTGTGATTTGTATAGTACGACAATACTTGAAACTAAAAAGTTGCCAAAGTAAATCGACAACACGTATCACTTTGTTGCAGAGGAAAACAAATAAAGTAGCCCCATACCTTTAGTTTGACGTTATGCTCACGTAGTTTTGAAACTGTGAGTGCAATGCACATTTTTGAATTGGGTCCCAACGATGTAAACAAATGCGAGTTAAAATAAAACTGTAGGCCTAAGGTTGAATTAGAATTAAGAGTAAATTAATGAAGAGCTAAATCTATATCTATAAGACAATCATGGATTAGCATAATTAAGAGCCAACGAGTGTGTTAAGCCGGAACTCTAGACCTAGTAGAGTTTTGGGTAGAATCTAATCCTACAATTTCTGCCCTAGATCTAGTCTAGACTCTAGACCGATTAGGCGCGCCTAGTCTATTAATATTATGATGTCAAAACATCCATAACATCCTAAAGATGCCCCGAAAGATGCATATCCTGATATAGAGGTCTAGATCTAGATATCTAGATCTAGACCTAAATAAGATTAAAATGACTAAAAGAGAAATGATCACAAATACCTTCTTGATGCAGAATAACTAGTCCAAAGTCAACATTGAAGCTCATATAATATGGTCGAATTTCAAGCGTTTTTTTTTAGGACAATGCAATATTTCTGAACTGTGTGTATACTTGAACGAATGAATGCGCGCACGATCGATGATGCGCGCACGGTGACCAAGAAGGAGATCGTGATACCCGAGGTATCCGATACCCGACACGTCGGTTCGAAAAAGGATTCCATTGTCCTAAAAAAAAAAAAAAAAATCAAACAAATGAGCTTCTGCAATGTTGACTTTGGACTAGTTATTTTGCATCAAGAAGGTATTTTTGATCGTTTTTAGTTTCTCTTTTAGTCATTTAAATCTTTTTTAGAGCATTTGTATGATGTTCTGGAATTGTAGAATCCTGATTTTTGTATTATTTATTTTTCGTAAAGAACAATTCCACCTCGATTCAGACTTTTTCAGCAGTTTGACAATAAATCAAAGGGTAGAACAAAACAAAAAATCAGGTCATAACGTTCAATGGTTGCTTCGAAAGAGATTTGTTTGTGTCGAATATTTTAAATTGAAGTTATTAAATTTGCAGCACGAAATCCAGCTATAAAAAAGCCTATATCAGCTACCCTTGAAGATGGACGAGCTGTACTGAGCATGTGCAGTAGAAGCAGACTACATCTCCATGGTAGTTAAACCTTGGCTTAACTTTAAACCTGGGTTTTAGACTTAAACCTGGGTTTAACTAAACCTGGCTTTCAGAAACTGAAATGATACTTAGACCTGAAGTCTGGCTTAGTTAAACCCGGGTTTAAAGTTAAACCTAGGTTTAACTAAACCTGACTTCAGAATACGGGCCAGGGTAATCACAATATTAGCATTAATTCTAATTTTTGTATATAAATTGTATCCTTAAACAATTGATTCATCCACTCATGCATGGCCATTTGTTAACTGCACATATATTCACAAAATAAACATGAACCAGGGGCAGTATTCTGAAAACAATGTTTTTTTGCTTCCATGTTAGGGTAAATAATGTAAATTGTCATAACAAACTGGAATTGCACAGAATTAACAATTCTGATTGGTGCTTTAAATAATTTCTTTTTGATTATGTGTATACGCAAATATCACATCTGGAATTATTTGGATGTTTCTTTGTTTCTGGCGATATCAGTAAATTGATGACCTCAATTAAAAGCTGTGGGTCCCAATCTCTACAGTGAATTGCTGTCTAGTCTTATTAATCTCCAATAAGTCTCTAACTCGTTTTATTTATTGTTCATTAAGATTAATGACAAATTGGTAGTCTAATTCCCAGTTATATCCAGCCTGTTTGGTCTACTAGTACTATCCATAAGGTCTTGATGATTTTTATTATTCATGACTAAATGATTATTACACCGAATAGGTAGTAGACTTTCGACCGAATGGAAATTAGACCAAATGACTATTAGCCTAAATGGACATTAGACCAATTGATAAGTAGAAAAGATGATTATGGGACCATGTGGGCTGGGTGCAGACCATATGGGAATAGACCAATCGGGTAGTAGACCAACTGGTTGTACATAGACCAAATGGCAATAAACCATCAGCTCTCTCACACATCAGGCATTCTCTCAGTAAATACAGTATTGAACTTACATCGTCAGCCAGGTTCCTGAGCGCTTCTTCGTAGTTGCCTTCTGCTGCATAGAGCAGTCCCCAGTTGCGGTAGAGTTTGGACTTCATGGCATGACTGGCGTCCGGCGTCTTCACCACCGTCCACTGGGCTTGGGCAAGGTATTCCTCAGCTTGCTGGAGCTTGTGAAGCCCTGCATCATGCAACATGAAATTAATAGTGAAGCTTTCAGAACTAAACTCTATCGATTGATAGAAGGAAAAAAAAAAAAAAAAAAAAAAAAAAAAAAAAAAAAAATCAAATTTGAGATGGGTAGATTACCAAATGCCAGGGAAGAGTGGAGCTAAACTAGCTGTTGTTTGTCATACTTTGATACAATGCTTGTGAGAGAAGAATACGTTAGTATAAAATGGAGACATATTGCCTCCCAGATACAATGCTGGGAAGTGTTTCACAAAGACTAAGATCCACTTTAAGTTGGTCTTAAATATATGGCAGGCCATTCATGCTACTGTTAGCTCTCACCATTATGATTTGTGACCATGATTTGTATGTCCTTGATAGACCAATGCCAGTAGAAGCTGATAGCAAACAGTGGCATGAACAGCCTGCCATAGTAAATCCAACTTAAAATTGATCTTAGTCTTTGTGAAACACCCCCCTAGTGAAGAAAAAATAAGATCACTGTCGAATGAACGGGTCATACCAATGCTTGCTTCAGCCAGAATGAGGTACGAAGGAACCAATTCTATGCTATCCAGCCCGTGTACGTCAATGCTGAACCTAAGAGATTGCATAGCCGCTGGGACCGCCTGCTCGTGCTTGCCTTCAAAGAGTAGCTTCTGGCCTGTTGTCCTGGTGAGCTCTATCATGTGTTCCTGGAGAAATTGAAAGAAAATTCAAGATTGAAAGTAATGGCAATTTCTGTAGGTCATATCATCTTACCGGGGGGTGTTTCATAAAGCTGTTCATAAAGTTACGCATGACTTTACAAACGATTTGTATATGAAAAGCCAAATGGGATGCTCAATCATTATTAATTGCATCAACTTAAGTTGAACTGTGCAAATGTAGATTAACATTTTTATTATAACAAACATTTTTAATGCAAAGTATATTTTTTGCCATAATTTAATTGAGGTTACTGGAAATATCAGGAAAAAATTTGGGCATCCTACCTGGCACTTCATATACAAGTCGTTCGTAAAGTCATGCGTAACTATACAAACAGCTTTATGAAACACCCCTTGCAGAGTGAGGATAAGTGTCCGATTGTTAGTGGAGTAAAAAATGGCATATCTGTAGACTCTCAACATTTTTCACAAAATACATGTATAACCCCTTTTTGCCCAAAACATAAGTACCTAATGTCCTTAAAATATAATCCTACTTTTGGCATATCAAGTAGAGATTCACATATTTTCGCATAATTTACCTAAAGCAAATTGCAGTTTCCTCTTTGAAATATATGACCTTTTTGTGCAAATTGTGATCATGAAGTGTTGCAAACATTCCAAAAGAATTATCCTTTTTTGCACGTAAACTTACTTTTTTTTCTCCAAATTTTACGTCTACTGTCTAACCTGTCCACCAAATAGTGATCTGATAGGTGAAGTAGTAAGATCTTACCCTTCTCTCGAGCATCTCGGCTTCCTGCTTCCTGCGTTGCTCCTCCGAGGAGAGGAAAGATACCTGGGTGGTTCTGAGAGGGATGAGGAGCTGACAGATCTTCTCATGGATCCCTAGCCAGTCCGCTTGCTGGTGCTCTACTCCACTGTGAAGGTAATTGCAAAATATTTCAATATCAATAATTTTTTATTTGTATTTTAAAAATAATTTTCATTGAGAAAACAAGAAAATATAGATCCATGCAAGTACAAAGCAAAACAGAGCCTAACTAAATTGCACCAAATTTTTCATTCGCAAAGTTGTCATTTTTAAGGTCATAATAGTATACTCAGTGCAGCTGCACTGAGTAATATGACCTTAAAAATGCAGTCTGAGCCTCTGGCTAGAGTTCCATAATAAAGGAGCGAGTCACTAGACTAGAGAGTGAAAAGAGGCTGTTACTTTTTGAAACGGTATACCGTACTACTGTCGGTCTAGATCTATTTTTTTTAACATTGTGCAAAGAGGAGAACAAAAGGTAATGCAATAATATGGCCGAGGGTCGGAGGGTGATTACAGAATTAGCATAACAATGTCAATCATGATAATGCATCGTCATTGGGATTGATAAGCTGATTATCTGTCAGAAAGCAGAAAGTCCATCCTGAGTGATGATATTTAGATCTAGAACTAACAAAATAAAAAATTAAACAAGACAAAACAACTCAACATGTAGGCCTCACGCAACGACCAGATCTAATATAAATAATTCATTTGGTTTTAATTTATTTATTTTGACTAAGTAAGAATAAGATTAAAAAGAAGAAAAGAAATAGATCTACGACTACGAGTATGAGAAAACTGATTGACTGGAACAGTGCAGTGCCAGTTGAACATCAAACAAATCAGGTAAAAATGGACCAAAATATATGAAATACCTAAGTATATGTCCATTCATAATCATATTCGTGTCAAATTAAATAATACATCATTACATGATGATAGTATGTGATCCTCTACGTACGACTACTACGCCTACGGAATTGCGGAAGAACATATAACTGGCCTAGGGGCTTACACGAAATACAACGTGTGGGACATAGGTGAGATGAAAATGCGGAAAGTACAGCAGTGTTTACTTAACATTTACTTAGTACTCACCAGTAATACGTTACTCTGCATCTTGTACATTGTACAAAAGCTGGTTTCTGGCAAAGTTCACATAACAGCTTAACACCTTTTGGATTTGATAATGGATTTAGCGTCATTTTAATATATTTTTTACTCGAGATTCGTAATGTTTACAAATAATATTAGCAGACTTATTTCGGCGTTCCGTTGCTAGCCAAAAAAGTTGCCAACTTGCAGATCAAATGGCTACGGGTTTCAGCAGCACAGCTAAGACGTATTCATGTAATAAATTGTTAGTACAAATACGATAAGATCAAATTTAATAAATTAATATTTAAAATATTACATTAAAATATTTAATCATAATTCATAGAAGTTTTAGACATGTTAATGTACAATTTATAGGTTGCGCATTGGAGATTGTCCCTAGTTGTAGACTGGCAATGATAAACCTTTCAGAAATGGGCTCTATGACGCATCCAAATATTCTTCATTGCATTATCATAGATGCGTCATAGAACCCATTTATTTTCATTTTTTCTCTTACCTCTTCAGAGGGACTTGAATATTCCATTTCAAAATACATGTAGACTATTTACAAAACAAGTAGAATGAAACATATGAATTATATGCATGATCAACATAATTTCTTAAAATGATCATTATAACATTTCTATTACTTTCTTAATTTCTTCATTATCGAAGTATCTTATATTTTCTTTGTATTTTAAATAACATTTCAATGATGAAACAAAATTATTTATTTACCTCTTTGGATTGGCTGGTACTTCCCCAAAGTTCCGCTTTATGTCATCTTTGTATATTACCAGTTGTGCATAATTTATCAAGAAATTAAGTAAAGTAAATTTTCTGTTATTTATTTTAGAGATCTTTATCCACTCAATAACATTTTCATACCAATTTCAATTTCTATTTTATAGATGAATTATAAAATTCTTGAGATAATTTCCCAGAAAATTCTTAATTTCTTGCAACGAAATATAAAGTGCTCAATAGATTCTTTTTCACGGCAAATTTCACATTTGTTAGACTGTGACGATTTTCCATGTAAAGAGATTGTCTTTAAAGGGCAATATCCTATGAATTAATTTGAAATTATATTGTTTGATATTATTGTCTCTTATCTTATTAAATTTGAACTGAAATATATCTTCCTAAACAAATGTTTCTGGTAGGCCTAAAATATTTTGCAAAAAATGAAAACCAACTTTCTCTTTTTCTTTTCTAGCATTAAATTATAGTAACTTTTCGCTTTAGTACATTCAACGTTTATAACATCTAAAGTTGTCTCAATATAGAGAACATATAGAACCCATTTATGAATATCCAGGCCACCCTACTGAAATTTTTCAGCAATAAAAATAAAAAGATAATTTTTTCTTCTTCTTCTTCTTCTTCTTCTTACATGTTGCTCCAACCAACCGTTCCACCAATTAACCAACGATGGCCATCATGATATCTAAGAGTTTTGCAAGTTGTTGGTGCTATACAGAATTTATGATTGCATTTGAGTTTATTCATGTCCATTCCCGCCCCAGCTTGTGACTGATGGACAAACAAGAAACATTTATTGTTCAAAAGTTAAAATTCTTGACAAAGTTTCATTTTGTTCTTCCAGTTATCCTTTAAGAAAAATACCTAATGTCGGATTTTAAAGGTACTATGTACAATTCGCAGCCAACATCAAATTCTGTAGAGCTTTGCAGGAATTATAAACATATCATGGATGTCCTATCTGTGATTTTTAAACGTTATCAGTATCCTAATATTCAAACTCAATTCAATTCAAATTGGTTTATTAAAATACTTTCATTGCGGCAAAGCCGAATTGCGAAAATTTACAATAACACAGTGACAATTGATAAAATGCATCAGGTAAAACATGGTAACATTACAATCAAACTATTATTCATTGATACAATGTCCAATCACGATGGATGAAACAGAAAAGAGATTGGAAAGAGAGAGAGAGGACAAAAAAGAAAGAGAGAGAGATAGAGAGAGAGAGGGGGGGGGGGGGTGAGGAAACTGCAACTGGGATGTAGGAATACAAGGAAACAGAAGCATAGACAGAGAGGGTAGAGATATAATGATGAAGGAAAAGAGTTAAAGAAGGAGGGTGGTATAGAGGGAAAAAGAGAGAGGGAGGGGGAGAAGAGTAGAGGAACACAACACAAATGGGTGCAGTTATTTATCATGATAAATAGATTACACTACCTTCACATAAATATTCACATACTGTTATATAATACTGTTATATAAATTATGCAAGGAAACCCGTTTACTTTCTAGACTTCACTGTCAGACACTATTGAGTGACTGACTGACTTTTTTTTTCTTTGGTAATAGCATACATAAAATGAGCTGTAAAGAGTACATGAGCATTTGTTTACATCAATAACCCAATTCTTTTAATGGCCAAAGTTAAACTGATTAAATCTTTGCGCAGCACAAAACGCACGACCATTCGGTATAAGGGTATGAAAACCAGACTATTAAAGTCAATTCGATCACTAATGTTCGTTATATTCCAACTTAAAGACATTTTAAAGCCCTTTTCATTTGAGGGAAGTTCTAAACTAGTATTGTATTTCAAATGCCGTTGGAATTTAATCTTTTCATTTGTTGGCCTGCAAATGGGACATAGCACCTTTAATTAATTTTGTGGATGACAAAATATTAATTGGGTGGTTCGACATCTGTTTTGAGCTTTCAACGCTTCAAACTCTTGCAATCTCAAAGACTTTCAAGAAATCAACTCAAAATACCTTATGTATCTATTGAAACCATGCTCGAATGCAGTTATATGTAACTGTCATGACGTTCACATTCAAAAGATGACGCCCCGGTGACGCCCCAACACAACGCAATTTAATTATTTTAGATCCATTTTTTTTTGTATTATTGTGTTTACTTTTTTTTTAATACTGGGCAACCCACTGCTCAACATGCTAGGACGATTACATTTCCAACTTGGATGGTAATTTGCCCAATCATGCCGAAACATTGAGTAAAATAATTGGAGTTTAATCGGGGAAACCTGTAAGTTTCACCGCGGACACGTAATTACCCTCACGTTGGAGAGCTTTCGGTCAATATTCTAAATGTAGGCCCATTACAATATATATATAAGTACCGTAGTTGATGAATTTGATTATGATTGGGGCTTGGGCTAGTGTTTACTCCTATAATATTGCATGTTCACAACTGAATTTAGGCGAGTAGCTTCCGACCATATAGCGTCAATCACGATGCAAGAGGAATGAATGAAAGATGAAATTTGTAAAACTGAAATTAAGTAGATTTAAGTGGGAAACGGTCTAGGTAAATTAGATGTGAGAAAACAATAATCTATCATAGGCTTATAATTATTATAGGGGAGTTTGGTGGAGAGGCGGTTTGATTTTCTTTCCACTTTCCTTGCCATCTCTCTCTGTCTCTCTCTCTGTCTCTCTCTCTCTCTCTCTTTCCCTCTATCTCTCTCTTTCTTCCCCCCTCTCTCTCTCTCTCTCTTTCTCTCTCTCTCTCTCTCTTTCTCTCATTTTTTTAAAAATCGTCGCCGACCTTTTCACATTTACAGAATTTAAAATAGCTAAGGGAGGTTTGTGTCTTTATCCTCTATATCTGTGTGAATCTCCGCAATCGTTTCAGTAGATATGAAATTGGTTTCGAATCGGTTTAGTTCATCTCTTGCAAGGGTCAGGAAATCGCAGGTTCAAACAGAAAATCCGTTTGATGATACATTTTCAAATGGTACAAAAAGTAAGAAAGAAGACAGATATACACACAGAAAGAAAAGAAAGAAAGAAAGAAAGAAATTGAGGAAGAAAGAAAGTAAGAAAAAAGAAAGAAAGAAACAGTCAAATAAACAAACAAACAAAACATATACAAAAAAGAAGGAACGACATACATTTTGGTGTGCGGATTTAACTCTATAAGGTTTCAAATTGTAGAGGGCAGCAGACAGAAAATGCGATCCGATGGCCCTACCTACTTCTCGAGATTCGTATACTAGTACTCCAGTGCATGGAATGCATGTACATACGGACGTGCATTATTGGAACGAATTATATTAATTATTCATGAGCAAAGGAAAGATGACTAGCGAAGGGCATTGAATGAGATAGTACATGTATTTTCGTAGCACTGCAGTGGTTACACACACCTCTTTCTTTCTTTTTCTATTTTTGTCACCCCCCCCCCTATTTTTTTAAATGATTTAATCATGTTCGTCTTCTCTCTCTCTCCTTCTCAGAGAGGGGGAAATAAAAGATCGAGTAAGAGATTCTCCTGTTACACAATTCCCATCATTTCTCTGTCTGTCACCCTTTTTCTCTTCTCCCCCCTCTCTCTCTCTCTCTCTCTCTCTCTCTCTCTCTCTCTCTCTCTTTCATTTATTTTATTTTTTTCTCAGAAGGGGGTGGGGGGGGGGGGGGGTGAAAGAGAAGGAGACAATTTTTGTTTGTCATATTTCCTCTCCGAGCCTGATTTGCAGATGATCACGATGATCACCATAATTTTGCTGAGGAGACGGAAAGAAAAAAAAGGGGGAAAAAGAAAAAAACATGGGATCTGTCAATAAATAGATTGAAAATATGATTAGACATTTGAAACAATACATAGCTAATTAGGATTTGTAAGGCGCCAAATTCACTTGGAATCAAATGATCAAGGCGCACCTAGTTTGCATGCAGATAACCTTGTCAGTCGCTGTGCGTAACAGTGTCTGCGCTGTGAGACTAGGCTGAGCGCACTCTGCATAGGCTACGAACACACCCTTCTTCTTTGTAAGGTTTTATTTGGAAGTCATGACTATTTTTTGCCAGACACGGACAGAGCTAGGCTCTGCTCCAGGCTTACCGATGATGAGTGGGGCAGCATCATTTTCTTTGCTTGATCGCGTGTTCTTATTTTAGCAACATGGTTAGCACATCATGGAAGGTAAGAAGGACCCCCCTCCTGTTTCGGGGCTGGACTAGGGACCTGGGCAAACATCTAGTTTCACGAACCGTCATAAGTACAAGTTCACCGACATCCCTTTGAAACGCGTGTTAAGTCCACAAAATAAAAATAGTCATCTGTTAAGTTCTGTGGTTAAAACTGATGGATGCGTTTCAATGGGTTGTCGAAGAACTACTTATGACGGCTACGTGAAACGCTACCCAGTAAGCCAGCTTATATCACTGAC